TCACCATTCGCCTCTTTGCCTTTCATATCATTTATGGCATAAAGAAATCTTGTTTTCAATACAGTATTGCATTACATTGCACTGTATTATACCTCTTTAGATATGATATATCTTATTGTAATTAGGATATTAGGACAACAGATCTAATCATTTACAGAGTGCTGTCAATCAAATCATTGAATTTATTCTATTTTTGAAGATCTGGCTTTCCTCTTTAATTGCTTTCACATCTTTTCACCAAACATTAAGCTCTTGAAATATTTTTCGCATTATGCATTTACACATATATATATTTTATATTTCATTTATCTTATTTATATATATATTTATTATTATTATTATTATTATTATTATTATTAATGTATTTTTACTTTACTTATTTCTATTTTTATCTTATATTTTATAAAAAAATTAAATATAAATATATAAATGTTATGTAGTGTTTTTATTTTATATGTTATAAAAAATAAAATATTAATAATATAAATATATAAAGTAATATTAAGCAAATAATAAAGTGAAGTAAAAAATTGAAAAAAATAAACAAAGTAAAAATAAGTAATTTATTTATGTGTTTATTACAGAATTTCGTTCTGTTCTGAAGATTTTTAGAAAAGACATATTAATTAGTTGCATGGTGTGAGCTCAATGTAGATGAAAGATAGCATTTCGGTAGATATGATAGCGACAAACTTTTTTACTAAATTTATTACTCAGTGATCATAAATGGAACATTTACGACTTACCAAACAATAAAGCGTTGCAATAAAAGAATCTATACATATAAATAAAATGACAGTCATTTATAATTTGTGTTTTTCATTAATTCGTTAAAAGTATGAAAAAATTCAGCACGCAACTCGACTGCATAGTACAAATAGTATAGAATGGAATAAGAGCTGAAAAGGACAAGAATAATAATATTATTAAATATCTGGATTTCTGGATAAGTCTCGGCTGCTTTCATAAATAGTTGAGTTTGATGATGCACTAATACACAGGGATGAACTGCTCTGACAGGCTGAACTAAGATCAGAATGTATTTTACCTGAAGATGTGCTTTTGTTGGAGATTAACTCCAACTTCATTCTCATTACTAGCATTTCTTGTGACGATTCTTCTAATCTATCTATTGCTAAGTCTGTATCATTTTTTATTTTACTGCTTTTTCTACTAGTGCTGCTATCAATATCTGAATAACTACTTTCTGATGTGATATTTGATAACGGTGTAGCAGTAATTCTTGGAAATATGTTTCGATGATACTTTGCCCACTTAAAATTATCCTCTAAGTTATTGTGTTTGATCATTTTTCGATGTGATCGTTTTCCATTAGTTATTGTTTGAAACCTGAAGTGAGTATCAGAAGAAAGTTCACTTTCATTTTTGTTTGTGGCTTTGCTGCCTTGCTGAAAATGATCGTTCAGTTCAGGAATCATATTTTGATTGATAAAGTTTTCTTCGTGTTTCCGATCAGACGACAGATCATAAATGCAAGACTTTTTTTCCCACTGATCTCGATTATTGCTATACTCACTTGTCGCGTGAGTAATACTTTTATCCGAACTTAACGCCGAGAAATTTTTCTGTTTTGTATTGCACTTTGGCACTGATCTCTGCAGACTTCTGACTCTTTCGGCATCACTCCACACTTTTGGTATTTGTATTACTGACTGATTACTGAAATATCAGTTCTTCAGGACAGATAGCAATTTTCAAAATTGTAGAAAATAATGCACTGATTGTTTTTTTTAATTTCAGAAATTGAGTTAGCAAACTTACAAGTAATAATTTGTATTATTTTATTCACTTTTTTGAATTATTACAAAAAATATCGTAATATCAGTCAGACAAATACAATGATTAGTTTACAAGCTAAAAAATGTTCTTGATGCTGTATAATTAACTTTAAATTTGTCTTTATTTATTGTTTGACACCGTATTTATTTTCCACTCTTGGCATTTCAAAAAATTTTTTTACATCACTGATAAATAAATAAACCTGCAGACTATCACGAACCTTTTTGAAGATACTGCGATATCATTTAAATAAGAAGGTATTTCAAAGTCAGATGAGTGTACTGAACTTGCATAAAACACTGTGCTGCAAATAAAATATTTATCGAAAAAAACAGTTTTAGCATATCTTAACTATTCCAAAAAAACTTTAATATGCATAAGGAATTGTGCCAAAACCGAATTAAAAAATTGGAGAAAAAGATTCGCCCAATATAAGCTTTGCTAATTTTGTATTCATTTAAATTCTTTCAAATGACGTTTAAAAATTTTGCTATTGCTTACTGCTTCAAATGGTAATGAAAAAATAATACTGATATTATCATAAATATTAATTATTGAATTAAAAAATTGAAATCTATTTGAATAAAAAGAACTGCGAGTTTATTAACTGAATTACTTTTGTGGAATGTATTCATTGGAATGAGGAAGAGGCGACTGAGGAGGTAGCCAACAATGAGAAGATAATTTTGATGGATATTGTGTGGATTGAAATTTGCTAGATTCAGAAATATCTGAATGCTTTTGAGTACTGTCATAGCTATCACTGAAAGTATCACTCAATTCGTACAGCAATGTTTTGTCTTTAGTTGGAATGCGAAAAGTTTTCTGCAGTGAGGGAATGTTTGAATTTTCTGCTGAACAGTTTGCTGAATCTTGCAGAATGCTAACTGTCCTGCAAATTATTCACTAAACCAACTTGTAAAATACTTACACGTTGATTACGTCAGAAAATCAGAAAAATATTCAGTTATTTCACACACATTTTTTTAAAAATTTAGTATCATATGTATTTGTCATTTATTCATTGCTCAGATTCTGAAGCAATGAAATTTATTTTTATTTAATAAGGAATTCGTATTTTGAAAGCATTTTAAAGATAACAATTTAGATTCAATCATATGAATAGCAAAATTATTCCTAAAAATTTTATGAAAGTAACTGAATGCAAATTTTTCACATATTATCAAAAAAAACCTACTCAGTAATCTTTTTTCCATTTGTTTTTGAAGTTTGGTTTTCGGATGCTTTACTGCTACCTTGATTTCGCTTCAAAATGGTGTCTTTTGTTTGATATTTCTGTAAAACTTTTTGCAGTAAATTAGCATAAAACTAAAATTCAAAAACTAAATTTTTAATCTTTAGTAGTGCATGAATAATTTTAGGAGCATATATGCAAATTCTTTAATTTAGCCAAAATTATCAATTTTGCGCTTCGGCAAAAAATGTTAGTTAATAAAATAGTTTTAAATTATATTTGAAATAAAAAATAAAAAAGCATTGTGCAAACAAATTAAATTCTTACTTTGAAAAATCAAAATTTGAAAATCAATTTTTTTTTAATGATTTGTTTTCAATGTCAATTTTAATCTTGGCTTTTAATAAATTTTTCAAAGTAAGAATGAATAATTTTGATGAAAACTGTAACAAAAATAACATACTGATGTCAAATTTGAATTTTCAACGCCTATTATCTAGCAAATTACTTAAAATTTTCTGCTTAATATAATTAAACAACTGCTAACCGTATGTGAATCATTTTTATGCTTTAAATATGCTTTTGAATCAGTGTAGTGTGTTGCACATTTAGCAGAAGTCAATTCTAAACATTTGTAGTTATCAGAACTTTCAAAACTGTCATCTGTTGCATTTTTTGCTTCTTCTGAATCATTGCCAGTTATTGCTTCATTCTTTTGAATTCTTCCATAATTCCGCTGTATACTTTTACTTTCTTCATAATGATTTGGTGATGAGTGAAAAGCAATAGTCGAATGACCCGCATGCTTACGAGATGATGATCTAAAGAATTTAACTTTTCTGCTCAAAATAAACAATTTTAAACTTTTCAAGTTTTTATCTAATTCCAAATTGAATTTAGTAATTAATTAAAAATGCTATGCCATCGTAGCATTTTCAAAATAATCAAATAATACTCAGCTGTACTTATTCTTCGATTACTTTTGCCCTGAACTTTTTTAACTTTGTGACATATAACATTGAACGCTTTAATAAAATGAAAACAATACTAAATCTAAAATGAAGAATGTTATCTGAAGTGATTGTGCTCAATATACCAATCTTTAAAAGAATCACTTTATGAAACCTGCATCTTGCTAGAATAGTTTTAGAAATTTTGCAGTTACAAATTAATTTCACGAACTTCTGTAGACAAATTTCTTTTTTAAAAACTATTTATTGCGCTATTCGACGATCTCTGTAGTAGAATCAAAGTTACATAGAGAAGTATTGAATAAAAAGATTAAATATCTCGTAACCTAACCGATTCTTTTTACGTCTTTTCCGTAAATTATTTTCCACATCATCTTTAAAGCTACCATAAGCCATAAGACCAATCACAGAGCTTAAATCTTCTGCATTCAAATTATTATCTACCGTACTAATCTTCACTGTATCACCATTTACAACTTTTAGGGGTTGATTTAGCAGTGGATGCAGAGTATGCTTGGAAAAATTCATATCTATCTGAAATTTGCATATTTCTCAAAACAAATTTCCTTTCTCAGCACTTTTTTCTTATTACATAAAATAATTTCTGCTTACATAATAGAAACACAATTCAAACTTCTACAATTTCTGATGTACACAATTAACCTTGGAGTTTGGAGCGGACAACTCTTGCTTCAATTTATTTTCTTGATCTCTGAAAATGCTTTCCTATCAAAGATTAATAAGTTTTAAGTAATAAATGACAAAATCGTACAAAAGTGTCGTTAAGATCATTAAGCTGTTCTTTTAACTTTCACTTTTATATATTTTTTACTCACTGATTACCTTTTAAAGTATGTGAAAACAATTAATATTAAAATACTGAATTTTATACTTCAAATTTATATTCCCAGTGAATTGACTAATACTTTTGTAGTGCTTTGATTGACAGTAAATGGAATCACTCAGCACTATTAAATAAGAGTTAATTGCAACAGATAAAACTGAACTTCTTGACAATTGGCAACAAAAGCTTTTTCCATTTTCGAGTGAATAAAACTGCAAAGACAAGAAAAACGATAATGATGAAAAGCACTAATGCTGAGATAAATATCATCCATAGCAAAGGATTTTGACACCGGATATTGCATGTATCTGTTGCTGCAAAACATCTTATCATTGTCATTACTATCTGTTTGGTTCTCCAAAAATCATTATTTAGTAATTTTTCATTTTTAATATATTAATAATAACAATTTATTATTATTATTTTTTATTATCACTATTATTTTGTATTTTTTCATTATTATTATTATTATTAATGTCATAATCGAAAAAGCACATTTTTTCATTTTAATCTGTGCAACAGTTCCAAGGATTTGCTTTTCTCCTAATATAATTATTGGCTATTAAAAAAATCATTACCAATTGAGATAATAAGTTATATTTCACTTTAGTATAATGATCGCAATCTTATTATTATGTGTGCAATTATCGTGATTATCAATCGGTTTATACAACTTTTTATCATTGAAGAAGAAATAAGAAGATATTACTATATGGGATATTTCTGTTGATCGCATAAGGATAATCTGCTTTGATACCTGAGTGATTTAAGTACTGAAATACTTTTACGGAATAGATGTTGACACAATTTAAACTTATTTCAAATTTTGCGTGAAAAGAAACAAGCAATCATTTATTAATTTCAAATTTGATTTCCTTTAACTTTTTTCATGTCCTATTTGGTTTTACTGAAGAAGTAATTGCAATTTAACGTTAAGCCTTTCATTAAACAACGAATAAATTTCATTTAATTCACATTAAATTGACTTTTTTATTTGGTAACAATTAAGTTTCTGCTCCTAAATATTTGATTCGAATACTTAATATTAACTGGAAATATTTTTCAAGCTTGAACTTGTCACAATGCATTGGTAAAGACTTACTTGTGAATAGTTTGATGCAATTGTACTTTGTGTACTGTCAATATCATCTGTTACACCATAATCTAGTGCTGACTTCCATGCTAGTTGATTGTTTTTTGATAATTTTTGATGGTTTTGCCAATTTTTTTGCTGCGATTTTCCTCCTTTTCGGTTTTTTACTGCAGTGTGCACTCTTCACAACTTTTGCATTAGAAAGCACATCTATTTGATTTGTTAATTGTTGAATTTATCCAAAAAAAGCATAAAATATTCCAAAAATAGCAACATTACAAAAAGAAATAATAATTTTTTTCTATTGACTTTCAAGTTACGTGACAGCAATTTAATTGTCTTTCTGTGGATGGAATTTTCATTGAAGAATCAAACTACTTCAACGAACTTTTCGATTACATTTATTCAAAGTATTTAAAATGATTAGCTTATTCATTACTTGTAATAATTTGTCTTTAAACTAGTCAGAGTATGTTTCATCTTAGCATATTTTGGGAAAATTTGGTTGAACTTGAAAAAATTAATGAGACAAAATGAAAATAAATGTAATTTTTTATACCAAATTTTAGCTTTATTTAACTAAGTATTTATTTAATAAGTGAATAATTTTTTAATTTGTTTACTTTAATTAATTCGAGTAATTTATACAAATTATACTTAATTAAATAAATACTTAGTTATATAATTGCAATTCTTTTATAAGAATTGCAATTAATTAATTAAGCAATTATGCAAATTTTGAAACTTTTGCATAGCCTTCGCATGCATTTGGGATAATTCGAACTGCATGCAAAACATGCCTTCACGGCGACAATTTTTCTGAGTGAGCAAAAAGTGTTGCGCAAGCGCAGTTGTTGCTGATAAAATTTGCATTTTTGTTATCAAAGTGTGCTATCGAATAAAAACCATTTGAAAGCGATTGCAAACGAATATTTGAATCGTCCACTGTGTGTCCGAATTTTTTTCCACGACTGCCAAACTTTGCATGCCAATATTTTTCGTTTATTGGCAACTTTTGCTCGTTGTGATCAAAGTTATCTTCTTGATCGTACTCGTAATTGTAATCACCGTCAGTATTTTCTCCATTTTCACCACCAATATAGTTATCATTTTGCTCATAACTATTGTGCTCAACGTATTCAGGTCTAGTGGCTATTCTAGAATTATCTGTATATTGTTGAGGGTCACTTTTGTCATCATATTCTGATCTATCAGTGTTTTGCTTCCTTCGACGATTATTTTCTTTGATTAGATTGATAGCTTGTCTGTTAACTGGCTTACTTCTCTTACTGTTTGACTTGAAATCTGATCTGAAAATTAATGCACATTTATTAATTTCCATCAATTTGTTATGAACTTCCGTTAACTTTTGAAGCAATACTCAGAATAACCAATCCCATTTTAGCAAAATTGCTTTAATTAAACTGAATCTCTAATAATTAACTGAGCGATTACTTAATGCTAACATTTATTATAATTTCAGTTGTTTGATTTGTAAGCTACAGCGTAAATGCTACTCCGAAAAGAATTTAATTACAAAATTATTTGTCTAAAATTATTATAAAATTTAATTATTCCCTTTTTATTGCTTTCCCTGTTAATCCGATCAATATTTCTAGAGTTGACTTGCTTTAGAAGAATTTTTTCTTTTTGGTGTTTTTTGGTTAACAAAATTGAAGCTTAAAATGTCCCGTAATTCCTGTTTATTTCTTTTCAAGTAATTATCAATCGCAATTATTCCAAAATTGCCTTCTCAAATAAGTTTAACTATTATTCATTCATAAAGTGATCTGACCAGCTGATTTGGCGTAAGTTCGTTAAAACGTAAAAACATTGTTTAAATTTTCCCAATTTTCTTCTGGACTATTTTGTTACGATTTTATATCATCATTTAGCCTTTAGAATTTATACTAACTTTTGAAACCTTTTTAAAAATGCGAGCAAATAATAAATTTTTTAAGCTCATTTAAGTAATGCTAAAAATAGTTGAAAGATGCCTTTTTATGAGCAGTTTGGATTGTATTGCTTCACTGATACTATACCACTGATTGCTGTCATCAGTAACGAATACAGTACCTGTTAACGCGTCATTCACAATTTCGTTGCCTAGAAACTACTGAGCAGTTTCGTTCAGAAGGTGTAATAATTACTGAATCTAATTCGGACTTATGAATTGCAAAAATAATTATGAATTAATTAAAGTTCATTAATTGGCAACATATCGTTGGTTCATTTGGTGATTTGAATATGAGATCGGCGTTATGATTTCAATAAATGGAAATGTCTCACATTATATCTGAGGAATTCTGAAGCAAATGGCTCTCTTTGAATTGAAGTTCGTATTTTCAAGCTATTTCATGCTTAATAATTGAGAAATGAATAAATGATTGCCTAATTGAATTATAATCTCAGCTCTGTGCAAGTATTCACGAAATGAGTCGAAGGACAGTGAGCCAGCAACAGACTGTTCTAATGTCATTCGTACTGGAAATCCTTGCCCTGAATGAGAATACATAATATTTTGCAAAGTTTTCCAAATAACTGTGCTTCAGAATGGTCTAATATTAATGAGATGGAATTAATTTCAAATTTGCATCAAGGAATCAGTCAACAATCACGGGAATAGTCGACAAACAAACCAGGAACATTGACCAAATCTTCTGATATTGGATGAATTAATCGTTTCGCCACAATATCCATATAACCAAAGTCCACAAAGCGTACCTACGTGATATTACAGAAATGTTTAATTTAAATTAAATTAATTTGTATTACGTAAGGTTATGATCACGATTTGAAGGGACACTCTTTAATGAATTTAAACTTGTATTTGTTATAAAATATTTTGAAAATTCAAAAGAGAAGGCCTTCAATAGAGGAGATTTGTTTGCATATTCAGATGGCAGATGAATGTTTTTTGACTGCAATCACAACTGCTCCTACTGTTTTGTTTAAAGTCAAATAATTAATCGTAAATCGTTTTAATTAATTTGGTGATAATTTGTTCTGTAAGACGTAAATAACAAACGTAATAATAGCAATTAACTGTCCAAAAAAAGCATAAACTTTTCAGTTTGTATTATTCTGAAAGTAAAGTGTTTGCAGTTAGTTAGTCTTTGAATTTGGCTTACAAGTATTAATGTTGTATCAAGGCGTTTAATGGTGATAATACGATGATATTTTTTTTCTGAACCATATTTAACGATTCCAGCCAAACCTGGAATACTTGCGCATTAATTATATTCGCTCATATACCTCTTTCAGATTCAGCGCATGCTTGGACTTTGCAGTTGCAGTCTGAAGTAGTACGAGTGCAAGCTTAAATATTAACATTAATATCACTCATTACAATAATTTCAAATGGCTTCAAAATGCAACTCTGCCAGCCAATGGTTCATTTTTCGAGAATTTTGACCTGGAATAGGATTGGCTAGCGATTGTGAGGTCATATATTGCTGTTGTAAATTTCTCTGCAACTTATCGAGTAAGCTCGAAGCTTCAGGTAGCTGCACATGGATTGTAGTCCAAGCTGTTTACACAGATAATTAAAATTAGGCTACAATATGAATTATTAGTTTTCATTCACAATTTACATATTTTATAACACTCTGCTTTCTCAAACGATTCAAAAACACGTCAATGAATAAATGAACTTTTTTTGAATTGAATGAGTGATTACATTCGACAAACGTTACGACAGCATCAATGTAATCATTACTGCCTCCTGGCAGTGTCAATGTACCGTATTTGCCCTGAGAGATTTGGATGTAACCTGGTTCTTCGAGTCCTGTAATATTCACTCAAATCAGACCATCATACCGCAATCCATTCATCTTCTTTCACAAGTAATATTGTTATTCTGTCACAAAGCTTCTCAAATTTCCGTTGAATAATTGATAAAGAGTTGAAGCATTTACTACTATAAACTTTACAATTTGCCAAACACAAATAAAGTTTGCTTAAGAATGAGTGAGATCTTTTCTTGCAAAGCATTCATTCATTTCGGATAAAAAATTGCTTCTGATAACAAAAGTGTCAGTTAGCACTGCAAAACCTAATGTCAAGTGATAAAAATTGTTGTCTTGCATTATCGCTTGCTTCGCTGTAATTCAATTCCGTGCAAACTGCAACGAAGCAATTATAGGCGAATTTTTAGGGAAGTGTTGGATTCCCTAAAATTTTTCAAATTAGTGAAGAAATAAACTACTTGCCTTCTGAAGCCTTTGTGGGACTTGAATGATTTTTGTTTTGAAAACTTTTCGCGAATTTCTTTCATTTTCTCAATTTACCAACTTTTTAACTAATCTTTCAAAATTTTCTCAATTGATATGGCAATTGCGAATCCTAATTTTGGTACTGTCTAAATACTGTTCCTTTTTCCAAAAGCAAAGCTTAGAAAGTTGTTTGAAAATTGGAAGATACAATTAGACACTTAGGAAAGTCGACTTGCATATGAAAACTTTATAAGACCGTAACAACCGATATCTTCCAGCGATCAGCTTCCTCTTGCTTTTCTTTACAAGAAGCTTGTTTTCAGGCATAATATAAATAGTTTATTCCATCAGATATGCAAATTGCTATCACAATAAATATGCAATTTCGCTTCATGCAAAAAAACCACCTCATTTCGCTTAAAACCATCCTATGATATTCTATTCTTCAAATTGCATTT